TCGTGCTCCCAGAGATAACATAATGCGCGCAGGTTGTGTCACAGACGTGTACGGATAACATAATAGCGCATGTTGTGTCGCAGACGTGTACAGATAAAATAATAGCGCATGTTGTGTCGCAGACGTGTACGGATAACATAATAGCACGGGCTATGCATTAGAACAGTAGTTCTTAACCTTTTCTGAGTCATGACCCTTTAAGAATCTGGTGAAAGCTACGGACCCCTCCCCAGAAAAATGCACATAAGCACAACATTTTTATGCGCCTGCTTTTCCACGGACCCCTTGAAGCCCATCCACGGACCTCATAGGGGTCCACCTACCACAGATTAAGAACCCCTGCACTAGAAGTATGTAGAAGTGCATTATGTCTAAGTAGAACTAGTAGTAGAATAAGTAGTAGTCTGTGTAGTGAGAATGTGCCAGAATTAAAAGGATTAGGGTGTTTTTTTCCGAGGTATGCACTCGTCCATGCACGTACCTCACACACACATTTATTATTTATTTATTTATATTATTATTATACGCAGAGCACATGACACAAGCTTGTATAACAGTCTCGTAATTTTAATATGTAATTTATTGCACGTGAATAGACTATGAATGAACTGTTCCTTCGCACTGGTGGGCTCTCTCTCTCTCTCTCTCTCTCTCTCTCTCTCTCTCTGCGCCGGTCTGTGTGTGTGTGTGTGCCTGTCTGTCTGTCTGTCTGACTGTCTCTCTCTCTCTATATATATATATTTATATATATATATATATATATGCACACACACTCACGCATGCACGTGCGCACACACAGTCTACAAGTGATCCCTAGACTTCAAATTTATATACAGTACTAATAATTAGATGCTTATATATTTATCAGATTTAACTGTCATATGCTGTAATTGCACAGCCTGTTAATTGTAATCGCATGACTCTGTCAACTGACCTGCAGTAGTTGTTGCAGTGCCTCTGTCATTATATCTCTCAGGTAGAATAGACAGTTTCGGGGATGATGGGCATGGAGACCTTTGTTGCAAGACTGGAACACTTGACACTTCTGGAGATGTCAAAGTTCATACGTCACTGCATACCACTGCTACAACTAGCCTCTATTGCCACCACTGGTGCCCCTACTGCCACACAGGAAGCTCAATCTAGTTTTTAGGAAATTATGCGAGCTGATAATGAACAGGTTCTGCAAGCCGAGTTGTTGCAATTAGTCTGGGCCACACAGCCAGTGATGGGGGCAACTCCCCGGAGGAACACCACTGGCAAGACCCGGTACTACTAATATGCCAAACAGTCACCGAGGGATGCTTAAATGGTTCTGTCAAGCACACAATATATTAGTGACCAGATGCCATTCCACCTAGGTCCTATTTCGCACATTCATATCCGTCATTGCAAAATGAACGACTACACCATGAAGTTTGGCTTGGCTTGAAAGTCCGCAAGTCAAATGATCAGCACCACAAATATTATGGCAAGCTTTTTCACACTACTATAAATTAAATTTTATGAAATAGATAGTATTTTTAATATTACTTGTTATAATATTCTACTTGAACGTTCGAACTACGAGGCACAATTATAATAGTTAACATAAAACCTAATATATCTATAACATAACCTACTATAATATGATAAGTAGTATAAATATAATATAATAAATAATCAACCAAACCTAATATAACATAAAACCTAATTAATAAAGTGGAATTTACGGACGTACTGTTCCATCCATAAACGTTTTCTTGCAGCCACTGCAAAACTGGTGCTTGCATCGCGAACAGGTTATGTGCATACAACCGCCCTTTGCCAGTGTGAACTTGAGCGAGCAGTTAGGACAATCTGAACAGTCAACCCAGCAAATGATTAATTGTACAATGTGAAAACGACTACTAAACAAAATTGCCTGTTATTTCCTTCGACTGAGATTATTTTTGTACCATTCTATTCAATCTATATAGCGATTCTATCAATTCCCTTCTACAAGTTTTCAATAAAGAATACATTACTACTAATGTTAAAACAAATAACAACAAATAATCTGACGTTTACACTGTGCTGTATTTTGAGTTGAATGCCTTTATGGGGGCATGCATTGGCAGGCTTATCAATAGTGTGCAGTACATTGAACCTAACCGTGCCAATCAACATTACCTGTTAATAGGACATGATCTCATAACAAGAAAATGATTGAAACAGTGTAATAATGAGTTTTATCTTATTTGACTATTTCTGTATTACAACAGCACACCTGTAAGTTCACTCAAGTAAAGCAGTTAACTCACCGATGATGTTCCTCTTAAGAAGCGAATTCATGGTAGCCTGGTATTCTGGGTTCCTTTGCTGTTTCCAGCTTTCAAACTCCTGGCACGTGAGACTAGCATGCTTTAGTTCCCACTGCAAGGTATAACAGTGGCAACAAATTTGTAAGAGGGAATGCCATGAGTGGAACTGTCAGACCTGTGTTAGCTTAGACCTTTTGTGACCTTCACACTATACTGACTGACACTTCAGACAGTCCAGAAATGACAACATTCTTATGAAAAATGTAACGTGCTTGCCGGAGCCAAGCAGTTGCCGCTTGCGAGCTTTTAGGACATCTTCAGACATCATACCAATGCGCTCATTAACCAACCATGCAATATACACTTAAATCCACAAAATCCGCAATGTAACACATTTTAAACACAAGTTTAAAAAGACGTAAGGAACTGGAGGTGGACTGTTAATGTAGTCGGGTGGTCGTGTCAGCCCAACGATGTGAGACACACTCACGGGTTGCCTGCAGCGATAACACATTTTCTTCCTGCAGAACGGGCACTCTATCGCCATACTGCTGGCGTCCGCACCGATGAAGCCACATGAGCACTGAAGTACAAACAAGGAAATACTGCTATAGCGAACATTAGCCTAAATTAAATGCTATAAGTCAGACCAAAATTTGAAGAAAAAAAAACAGCTACGCATTTATCAATTTCGACCACCAATAAACACAAAACCAAAACAGCGAATGCTCAAACATCTGTGTACTACTGTGTACAATCCTTATATATTCGCATACTCACAAATACTATATACACTACATTAGTTATCCTTCTGCTAAATTGAGAATGAGTCACTAATCTATGTACGACGCAGTTTTGGTACCACGGGCGATTGGATGTATTCGTGCCCCTATAAAACCTACAAACAACAATCGCACTGTCGTCGTGCTGTAAGTGAGATAGATAGATAGATGAGATAGATAATAGGCTTATTGCAAAACTAGTGTTAACAACGTTACAATTAAAATAAATTTTGCAAACAAGATATCATCAGGCAGTATAAAACTAAAATTGATGATATTTACAATAATATATGTCCCATGGTAAGACATAGATATCACTTAAAATGTTGGTTTGTAAAATTATATCACTACAACTAAAAACCATCTTTAGAATATATACTAAATTTAAAATAACGTGATCCTTGGTCAAAAGTGCCGTGATAGTAAGTACATACGTGCGCACACCATCGAAACCTCGGTTCCCTTTCTAGTGAATAGTCCCTAAGCTTGCTCTGAAACAACTCATGGGTGTCCTTCTCCACTATCTTCTTAAGCAGCACGTCGAGATCACTGCAAATAGCGAACCCAATCAGAAACGAACAGATGAACTAAACAACAGCAGCGCACATCACTATCAGGTTACAATGCAGTGAGATCAATGGGCTTTGCCAACCTGCATAGCCAGGGTTTCTAAGCGACGTCGCGTAACAATTCTATCCTTAAAACACTTCAGTTTCTCGAATTCAAAATAGAAGCAATGTACATGGGTGCCGACTCGTCACGTTTCCCCAGAATTCACCTCCACCTGCCGACCAATACCTGAAATATTTGCTAGCCTGTTCGTCGCTGGCTTCGCCTGCCAGGTCGGGCTGCTTACAGAACGGACATGTCAGCTCGAGAATACTGCAGCTCTTGATCTTGTTCGTGAAGTACTTGCTAAAGCAGCCGACGCATGCGCGATGACTGCAGCTTATCATCAACACCATCTGCAAAGTCAAGGCATGACCGAATGACGGCTCACGCAAACCGGAGCGAAGCAGTTTTTACTTCTGTTGTCACGTCAGAATCAACCTCAATTTGTACTAACAAGAGATGGTTTCCCGAACTCAACTCCGTGCACTAATCATGTGCAGCACTACTCCAACCGTGTTCAGAATCAAAACTCCCGTAGCCAGTAAATGCAAATCAACATTCGAACAACAACAACAACAACAACAACAACAACAACAACAACAACAACAACAACAGCAATGAAACAACAATAACAGCAATAAAATGCGATGAAAGATTTTTGATGACATCTGACAGATGTGGAAGGAGATGGGAAGAGCTGTTCCCACACACGTCACATGCAGGACGATGTGATGCCTTCCTACACGTGACACTTAGAGTGAGGTGATGTCTTCCCCACGCGTCACACTTAGAGTGAGGTGATGTCTTCCCCACACGTCACACTTAGAGCGAGGTGATGTCTTCCCCACACGTCACACTTAGAGCGAGGTGATGTCTTCCCCACACGTCACACTTAGAGTGAAGGTGATACCTTTCCACGCGTGACACGTCTGGG